AGTACAGCGGAAGATGCCACCTAGAGGTCTGAAATGGAAATGCCACTTCTCTTTTTACAATAATTATTGATAATCTGCCATTATGGATTATTAAAAATGTTATGTAATCACCAATATGTTGTCACGAAATTTTTCTGCATTTTGCATATATAATACTATATCTTGCAAATAAATAAAGCGGAGAAAAACTACATTCGTGTTTAAATTACTTATCAACGTTCTTGAAACAATGTTGTACAGCACATAAAAATTTCTTTTGCAAAAGGTAAAATGTTGCATATGAAGTATGAATTCTTTGCAGTGTTGCATATGCATATTTTATACATCATATAACTAAGACTTACTCCCTGTCTGTATATATGTATATATACTGTATATATACATATGTATTGCAACAGCAATATACATATATATATAATTATATATACACTCACACATATACATATATATATATATATATATATATATACTGTATATATATATGTGTGTGTGTGTGTGTGTGTGTGTGAGTGATGATTTGACATTTAAAGTGGCAACTGATTCAGCCGAAAATTCTGAATTTTAGCTTGGTAATTCAGCAAATGTTTTTTTGTTAGGGATTTCTGCCACCTTCCAGAAAATCTTAAACTTAACTTAAATCTTAAACTTAATCAGTATGAGGTAGACCATAATAAAAGGGCCACAATGAAAGTCTCAACCTAAAATTTTATACTAAACTGTAATACCTAAAATAATAACAGTTATATTCTCCCTCTGTACTCTGAAATGTAGTCTTTATACAGTAATTTTTGCTTATCAGTCAAACGATTCACAAACATTAGATTATTCATTTAAACATTCTCATAAAAACAAAGCATTAATGAGACTTCCTGCTGACTTTGCATTTACACACACACACACATATATATATACACACATATATATTCATTGCTACAACCAATTCACTGTTCTTAGTGCAAGTTACACACATATTCAAAGTCACACACTAAAGCACATCAATTGATTGCAGAAAGGACCCCCCTAAACAAACAAACGAATGATAAACAATGCGAAATTGGAGTTTTGGGGCCAGACTCCTAAGTGCACTGAAAATTGCTCCCTTCCTAGACACATGATGTTTGACACATTCAGAGTCTCCAGAGTTTTAGTGAACACATCCATATAATTGCATTACTTAAAGGCACAGAGTGTCATAGATTTTGAGTCAGCGGCATTAGAATTTAGGCAATCCGGCCTCTCAGCACCTGCCTGTATCTGGGTTCGAGGGGATTTTGCCTAAAGGCCAGTGAAGGCTGGCACATAATCGCTTGCAAATTGAACAATTTATAAGTTGAAAGAAAAATAAAATCATCTTGTGGAGGAGAGAACAGCAGCATTCAAAGAACACATGGGAATGAGGACACTATCTATAACTGACAGACACCTTCAAATACGGCAACATATTAAATTAAGGAATTTTACAGAGAGGAGAATTATGGAAATTCTGACAGGCCGAATGGCATCCATAATGTAATGCAACATTTCTATAATAAAATATTTCACTGAGGGGATTACATAATTATACCATGGTGGAATCTGGAGCAAAACAAATATTTGCATTCTGGGAGCCTGAGGAGAAGGTACATAGTAATGAGGTTGAATTAGCATCAAACTATTAATTAGTTGGGCTGGGATTTTGACCACCAATCAAAATGTACACAAGTCTTGAGTGATTCGCTGAGAAAAATCAGGAAAAGCTCAGAACCCATGTCTGTCTAGTTTTGCAAATAAGGCAAATAAGCCAAAGGTGAGCATTTATTTAGACCTGTGAACAGTTACTTACCTGAGCCTACATTCAGACAGTACTTTCTAACAGTGGCATAATGTTGTCTTCTTGAACGCCCATGAGATTTGGGTTTTTTACAGTTGACATTCCAGAATATGAGCTTGTGTATAGGTGACCATCATCACATCATATAGCTGAGGAATTTCCTGGTAGCTTGAATTAGACACACTTTCTACTCAATATGCAGGGTGTGCATGGTGCCTTTCATTTCAATGTGTGTTATTTTGGAAGTGTTGACCTTCAGTTGACATGACACAAAAAGGAAAGACTCAAAGACTGGCGTAGGGGTAAACAGAGAGCGGCTTTATTAAACAAAACACAAACAGTAATGGGGAAAACAAAACGGGACAGTAAGGGGTCCAAACGGGAGAACAGAATACAACAGGGGGAAGGACTTAGGGTCAGATGGAGATCCAGGAAGACTAGCACAAGGACATATCCCAAGTCCTTCCAACCTGGCCAGGTAGGGACCGGGGAGTTGGGAACTGGCCAGGTGGGGACCGGGGAGTTGGGAACTGGCCAGGTAGGACCAGGGAGTTGGGAGCTGGCAACCTCTGGTAGGCCCAAAAAGGGAGGCACCCACCTGGTTGCTTGAGCAGAAGGTGCCAACAAAGCTGGAGCAGGGAAGGAGGACACTGCTGAGACCAGAGCAGGAGATGAGGAAGGTGCCAATGGGATGGCAGGAGACGAGGCAGAAGCTCTAAGTCCTTTAGGTGCGAGGAGCACCAACAGGCCCTCAGGCAAGCAAGGTGCAGCCGGGGCCCCGGGAGGCGACAATGAGGCGGCAGGAGGCGAGGCGGACTAGAAAACTGGTGAGACAACAGGAGGCGCCCAATGGGACTGCAGGAGAGGAGCGCCCTGGTGAGGATGATGCTGATGAGACAGTAAGAGGTGAAGAACACCCCGGCATGGAGCACTCCGGCGAAGCTGCAGGTGAGGAGCACCCTGGCGAGACAAGGGGGCTCCCAAGAGGACCAGTCTCGGTCAGGCAGCGGAGGATCCAGGGGCCGGTCCGGTCACTGGGGAATCCAGGTCAGGGCTGACCATGACACACAGAGTATGTGCTTCGGAGGCAATGCAGAGAAGGAGATGGGCTCTAGAGGTGCAACAGAGGCAGAGACGGGGTCCGTAGGCACCGCGGAGGTGAAGATGGGTTCCGGAGGAGCTGCAGAGGCGGAGACGGTTTACGGCGGTGCTGCAGTGGCACAGACGGACTCTGGTGGAGCTGCGGAGGTGGAGATGGGCTATGGCGGCACTGCAGAGGTAAAGACCGCTAGCCTTTCACCAGCCTGTTGGGCTACACAGAGTGCTTCCAAGGAGTAGCTCTGGAGCAGGGCCAGGCGTGCTTCCAGGAGGGTGAAAAAGTCTGCAGCTTCAACTGGAGAGACGACTGGCCCATCTCCTCTGGAGGTAAGACTCTTCCGGGCAGTTCATGGGCGCTTCAATTCTCCTGATCCAAAGGACACACTAACCTAATTTTGACTTACACATAGAAAATCTCTTAAAAAGTTTAGTTATGACTAAGCTCTTTTACAGGAAACTCATTTATGTTAAGTCTCATTTGATATACAGTTCAAATGAGCATTGCACTTGTTTCAACAATTAATTAGTAATGATGACTGATATGGAATTTACATATATTACCTCACAGCAAAGACACAATTAAGAACACCACACAGCCGATAATTAACAGTTATTCTGAAAAGGGGCACTCTAAGGAGGTCATAATGGGAACTGCAGTACGTACTTCACCCTGGTTCCCAGGCTGGAGCTTCAGGATGCACATGACACGATTTCTGAGCTTCAGATTTAAACAATAAATACTTTCCCCCCCAGGAGACATTACAGTTTCTTACAGTTCAGCAAATTTTGCCATATCATATGAAGAAAGCAAACACCTAGAATTGCCTGTCTCTTTGCTTTCTTTAAAATTGACTTAATTTTTTAATTTTGTTATTAGTACTTTCTGATTAGTACACTAGGCACATATCCAAAAATGAGTGATACGATACTATAGACAAAAGGTAAAGAAGTTCTCTTTAATTTGTGATTGAAAATGATAATATTCTAGGTACTTATAAAATGAATTTGTGTTGACTGATCCACAAGACAGCAAAGCCTTATCATTACCAATTCCTTCAGATACACCATCCGCAGCGTTAGAGACATTTAATGTGTATAACGATCGATGCTGAACGTAAAGAGAAAAAGCATCTGTATGATATTAGTGTGAACTCCTTGTCATGTTAAGATGTAGACGAGTTTTGTTACATCCTGAACTCATGGGGAAACAGACTGTGCCTGCAGGGAACTTCACGCTTAGTAGTTTTATTAAATAGCGTGAAACTTATTTACGGTCCAGCGCCTTGTCATTTTCATTTAACGTTTGTAGGATTGCAGCTGTACCGACACATGCCGGCTATGTTCCTGGTAGGCCTGCGTTTTGCTAGAAGATACTGCAGATGAATGTCCCAAGATGAAAGATTGCTTAAGATAGCAAGATGATTTATAGCTTTCATGGAAATTAAAGATGATAATCTCAAAACCAATATCTTTGAAGCAGTAGCCTACTTTATGTGGTGCTTGATCAATGAATGCCCGCTTGCAGAAATTCATGCAAATATAATTCCAAACTTGATACATCAAGTTACATATTATAACTAGTTCAGAAAAGTGGATAAACTGTATTTATTTTAACAATACCAAAGATGTGGTTCAAAAATGAGCTAAGTCGAAAATTTACATTTAATATACTTATTTGCAACGACGCCAGGGGGCGACACAATACAAACGGATGTTTTAATGGCGGTACAGAGAAGAGGATTGTTTTCAATGTGTAATAAAAACTAATCAAGTAAATTAAGACTTTCACTGTAATTCGCAAACCGAAGAAACAAAAACTTATATTGCTACATAAGGATCGGTAAACTTGTACAGAACTGTCTACTATTTATATGTTTTATTTTAATCGTGAAACATTAAATTTCTTTTAAAAAATAAACAGAAACATTCTAGCGACCACCCTTCGGTTTTTACGTTTCTCAGCAAAGCAGCGATCAGACACCGAGAGGTGAAGGGCCATCGGCCACTTACGCGCCACGAGCCCGAGCCTCTGCCGCCCCGCGCATCTGGGAGCGCGCACGCAGCGGCCGCCGAGCCGCCCAATGGTGAGCGGCGCCGGCGCCGCCGCCGCCGGGGAGGGGGGCGCGAGTCCGGCCTCAGACAAGCCTTCGCGGCTCGAAGAGAAGTAGAGGTGTAGACCGTAGCTCCGCGGTAAACTTTATTCCCATATGAAAGGAGCGTGAAGATAAACGCAGAATGCCATGGCGGTGGACCAGTAAGCGGTAAACGGCAGTTTAATTTGGGTAAGTGAGAATGACACGCCGCTCTCTGGTTCTCTCCTTTTACCACAGAGACCCAGTTATTGTGTGCGGAGCAGCCTGCTTGTCCGACATGGACACGATGTCTGCGCCTATTCTGGGTTCTATAAGCGCGTTTCAAGTTTGTTTTTTCTTCTTCCGCGACCTGAAATGTTCAACCTGTATCACGTTTGTTTCTGCCGGTTTTGTTTAAGAAGCAGGAAGGGAACTGCGCTTGACAGGGTTTACAATCTTTGTCATCCACTCCGGAGCCGTGCGTTAACTGGATGGGGGGGATTGTCAAAATATTTCGAGGCCTAATTAAATTGTCCAGTAACATAAAAATCGATCGAGCTGCATTTTTTTACTACGCAACGCTGGACAAAGGATACTATGTCACCTCCAAACCCTTTTTCTTTTTTCTTTCATTTTTAAAGAAATGTTCTCATACAAGCCTAACAGCGGTGACACGGCACAATAATTATGCGAGCATTCATTTAGCACGGTAACTTACATTTAGAGATGGAGACTGCCTGCAGCCCCGAACTCATACTTATTCACTACAGCTATTAATAATTCTTCTTAATAAACCAGAAATTCGCCCAGGGGAGTTTCCAAGAAGACCCCAAGCTTAGAATGGGTTTCTGTCTCACATGAATCCTAATTAAGTAAATGACACACAGTGTGGGTATCTAATTCTTAAGTTCTATGAATGGTCAGTTAATTATAACGATAAATGATGCAAGAAACATGGTTCTCCACCTTAGATGTTGGGTTTCAGTCAGCAGTCAGGTGAGCGATATATTCTAACAGAATTGCTATTATATCAAAATCTGGAAGGAAATTGTTTGATTCTTTATACCATAGAAAAGGTCGTTAATTTGCATGACTGCAGTATAATAGTTATAACAAATAGTTATAACAGGTTAAGTTGCATTTTAAAATATTCTCTTTGGTTAAATGTATGCAGTACTGTGCAAAAGTCTTAGGCAGGCAAAGAAAATGATGTTTAGATTATCCTCGTGTTGGTGTAAAACTATGATATTATGCCTGTCAAAGTGTGTCAGTGTAGCCATTTCAGAACCTCTGCTAAAATCTTCCCAGTATTTGCAGCGACCATCCAGTGCAGCCATGTATTTTTTGACTTGGCCACTATAGCACACCTCATACAGCTAGTCAATCTGTCGCTGACTTTTTAAACCAATTAATTTAATTATTTAATTGAGCTGTTGGTGAAATTTAACAAAATCATGGAATGGCTGAGGTGCCCCTGAGGAGAAGTTTGGGAACTGAAGCGGTGTTCATCTAGCCATCCAACTAGATATCAGTAACTTTTTAGAAAACAGAAGAAACTATTACTAGTTTTTATTGTTTTACTCTTAATTTACACATGTTCTAATGTTAAATTGTGTTTTTTGTTGCTACTCAGATAAACAGCCTTAGGCAGTCCAAAGAAATGTTTAAGACTTTTGCACAGTACTGTACGTGTATCAAAGTATTAATCCTCATTTTGTGCTTTGTGATGTGGGTAATGCTGTGTTAAGTTCATGAGAATGGCTGCATTAGAAATTGCTGTCTGTGTACTCCAGTATTGGCATAGACTAAGGGCCAAATGAGTTCTGTAAGACTATCCATAATTAAGCTTTGACTACTATTAGGGACTGTTGATTAATTATATTGTTAGCTTGATCAGCTAACAAATGTTAGCTTTGTCACTGTATATCTGACAGATTGTGCTGTGCCATTATGTTGTTCTGCAAAGTACACAAAATATAACAATCAAATAATTATAAAAACTGTGACTGAATTACTCTGACAGTGGCAGAGGCGTCAAAATTTGCATCCCAGTCTGCTTACAGAAATTGCTTTCATGGCACAATAATGGGCTCATTTTTGGGTGCTTCCAACTATCTAGTAAACAATGCTATTGTCTCCCATTATTGCGGGTGTAAAAATAAATAGCTAGAGTTTACTTTAGGGGGCACCACTAGGCTGTTTGGTGGCAAATGATTGAAGTTCATTGGTCATCATAGTTAATGGGAGTTTGTGAACACCATGGAACTTGACTGTATTTTGTTTGTGAGGATTCCCACACGCTCTGCCTGTGTAATGGGGTAACTTAATTCAAGCTTCTTGGTTAGTGAAGAGCTTGGTGGCAGCTGTAGACTTTGTTTCTCCATAAGAGGGGTTAAGGAATGGCCGTTACACTTGAACACAGAGATAAGTGGCTTCTGGAAACAGCGGAATGTTGCCTTCCTAATGCATTGAGTTTCAGGCTCCCCAGGAATTCTGCACTGGGATTTCTATCTTCCCTAACAGCTGGTTTTAACAGGGTGTGATTAATTTCTCTTAATTACTTGGTCCCCATAACATAGGTGGTGGTGGGGGTTCTGTAAGATCATCAATTCTATTGCTGTGTTTTCACGAGGTTCAAATTGGTTGTGATTTCACTGGGCAGCAGTGAAATTCAGTTTAAAGTGTGTGTGTGTGTGTGTGTGTGTGTGTGTGTGTACTGAGTTGTTTTCATTTATTGTAAATAGTGAGCTAATGATCTGATTTAGATTCACTGTGATTATGTAAGCTTGTTTTCCAGATATACAAACTTTAGGTTGAACTTGACTTAATTCTCGTCCCTTATAATTTTGTCTCACACCTTGTTTCCAGAAACTGCACTTCATAGCCAAATGAGTAAATTTTCTACAAAAATCTACCCCATTTATTGTTCCTGATTTAGGCTAATTTGCCCGATGTTGTGGCACATATCTTGCCTTAGTGTGTATTGCGTAGCTGATTTTCGGTTTGATCTAGCCTCCACTATATTAACAAGAATGGAGTTTCATGTTTTCCTGCCGACAAAATAATTTCATGTTATGTTCTGGTACTGGGGCCCTGAAGTGTTTATTCCTGAAACGGCCATTGTTTTTTTTTTTTTTTATTAACTCACATTTCTTAATCATCTCTCAGTGAAATCATGGAAAGTGGCAAAAAGGTACAGTAACTTCATGGAACCACGGGGATTGAGTGGAGGAGAGGAATGTAACAGCTGAGAGATTTTGTCAGCCCTTCTCATGCTTGCTCCTTTTGCTGTTTTTTTATTTTTATTTATTTTTTTAAACTGCCGTTTTATTTTGATCACACCTGCAGGCCAGTGCAGTGGAGTGCCGTCTTCTCCTTTCAGTGCATTGATGTTATTCTCTGGCCTTTCTGTATTTATGCCACAATTTCATGCTTGCTCCTTGAGATTTGGGTCTGTCTGTGCCATGAAGCAACCCCATGTGAGAGAGGAAAGTGGCTTAGAATCATTTACCACGGTGCTGAATCCATGCATCCCTGGGATCCCTGCACAGAGTACATCTATTTTTGTGTATCTCCTGCTTACAGATGGTGATGGAATCATTGGTGTGTAACTTCCCACTTGAACTGCGTAAAACCGTAAAATGACTCATGCTTTGCTTTGGGTGCTGTGATCTAAGCTGATTCCTCCACCCCCACCCTCCACACAGAAACACATACCTTGACCCCCAACTTGTGTGTCACAGGGGTGACTCCCAGTGGGCTGGTGAATAAGGTTTCCCTATCTATAGCACATTGGTTCACCGGGTGGGGCAATGTCAAGCAGAGTGAGTAGGAGACGTTCATTCCAGTTGGGGGGTGGGGGGTTGGTTCACAAGAGGGAGGGATGTGGGGTGACAGTGTTCCTCCTATGCTGGTCATCCAGTCTCCACATAGAAGCCACCCTTTTCTGTCCCTTTGCTGGGGCTATCAGTTTCAACCATCTATTCTCGGATTGGGTCGGTAAACATGTCTGGTATTTTAAATGCAAAGGCTATGGTTGTTTATTGTGGATGAGCTACAGAGAATGATTTATTTGCCGTTCTGTGTGTTTTTAAAGTTGGGTTTCCCCATTTTCTAATGGCTCTTGCATTTTTTTTTAATTCTGGGTTGTTGATTTTGTTCAGCACTATTACAGTCCACTATTGCATCTAATAGTGGAACTACCATCATTATACTCTGTGGTAGACTTTATTGTTCGTGCTTGTGAGAAAAAGCAGTATTTAAACAAGATATGGGGAGGCAGCTTTAAAGCGGTTTGGTTTCAATCCCATGAAGGGTAAATTGTGGACTTACAGTATGAAGGACATGGCCTGGCCTGTAAGAAGGTTGCTTGGATGAGATGTTGGCACATCAAAGAGCCATAGGAACTCATCAATGTCCTTAAGGCTCACTGACAGCAGGGATGTTTATATAAAGGCAGTGACCTCAAACCTCCTCAAACTTTGTGAACTTCAGATTGTAAAATAAGAAATAAGTTATGCTGTTTTGGTTTCTTAAAGGAAGCATGTGCAGATTAAGTCAACTCTGCAATTTTCCATGCAGCCGGATGTTCCTAGACCCAGCGGGGGCTTAGGTCCCCACTCCTAGGTACAGCAGGATTATCTGTCTGGGGTCTTTAATATCTTTCAGCTATTAGCCATGCATCCTTAACCAGCGGTTTTTCTCATTTGTAAAGCTCTGTTGCCTGAACGTATCAGGATAAGCTGGGAATTATTTCAGTCTAAATATGAGTGACCATTAGCACAAAGATCAGATTTATGTGATTGCTTGTTCTCAGTAGGGCAGTTAATATGCAGCTTAAAACTGGCCCCACCCCAGGCTATCATTAGCTTTTATGATAATGAGAGCTTACTGAGCTCTCTCTTTCAGGAACAGCCTTGGCTTGGAAGCAGAGGCTGACACCTTCCTCGCCACCTGTGGGTTGACAGGCTTAGGGCGACGTATCGTTACAGCCCAATATAAGCACAGAGACGTCATTATTCACTTACTATGTGATGTAATATAACCTCTAAAAGCCCTAAAAGGTTTTTCTCCTTTAAAATTGCCTTTCATGAGATGGTTTTCTTGGCACAGATCCTTGACAGTCCTCTTCGGGAGTCCTGAAACAGCTCTATCTTTGCGGCTTGGTGTGGAATGTGGGTTTGGTCTGCTGAATTATAGCTGCCGAAGGCCTGTGATATGAGCTGCTGTTCCTCTTGGTGGGTTTCATAAATTGTGAAGCTTACAGGTGTGAATGGGCCTGAGATGATTTGAAGGTTCTAGATTGATGTGTCCAGCAGAGGTAGCCCACTGACAAGATTAACAAGCATCTTATATTCTGAAGTAAATGAAATGGTATCCCTTGGAACTAGTAAGATTGTAGTTGGTGAAACACTAGTTCTTAAATGTGTTTGTGTAGTTTTTCAGTGAGTTGAGATATTATTTAGTGGACTACATGAACTTGGCAGCAAACTGAGTAGCCTTTTTTCCCCCTCCCTCATGCAGGAAAGCTGTGCATCTCTGTTTTTATTTAAGGACTGCAGTCTTAGCATATTTGGTTCTGGAGAAGACCGTGCTAATTGTCATTGCGCTCCTGCTGCAGGATTTCAGTCAAGACCGATGTCGGCACTATGCTTTGAAGTGTTAGTAACTGCAGTGTTTAGCTACCGGCGTAGGCTGGAAGGTCACACGCCTAACCCGGCCATGCTAATGATATCTCAACAAACAGGGGCAGCCCCCTGTTTATTCTTATAAGAAAATACAAAAAAAGATCCCTGTGTTTCCTGTGTTCCCCTTTCCCGTTCCCTGCTTGTCTCGTCTTCCCCTCTCCCTTTCCCTTACCTTTCTGGCGATCCCCAACCCTAGACTGGGGATCGTAACAGAAATGTGCCGTAACAACTATGTCGCTTGCAGCCCTCTGCACACACATTGGTGCCTGCTCTTCTTGGGCCCACCCTCCTGATTCAAGGTTCTGTTAAGGTGATGAAAAATAGTGCATGAAGAGTTGGTGGTTGTTAGGGGAAAGGTCAGATACTGGCATTGGTGACGTAATGACGTAATGATGTGAAATAACTTAGTTACGTTCTGTGCTCCTTTACGTAATGGTATTAATGGATATTTTAGTGATTTGGGTCGCGGGGAGGGCTTGCCTTCGCTCAAGACATTTTATAGGCTACCAGACACTATTAACGCAACACTGTTGTTGACAAATTTAATTTGGGAGAACCATTGAATGTGGTATGCGTCTCTGGTGTAAATGTACATCAGGGGCCTGCCTCTAAGAGAAATATTGTGAAGGCAGCTGGATCTCAGCCCGTGTTTTTTAGGGGCTGATTCATAAGGAAGGGGGTGGGCAAGTCGATGAAATCTGTGCTGTGTGAGTCAGGAGGGCATGAGGTGTAGATTCCCCCCCCCCCTCCCCCAAATGGACACTTCCAGAGTATTTATAGAGCCGAGCACAGGCAGGCTCCCTTTCTTAAACACAACTGCTCATATTCACCACCGACCATTGCCTTGCAACTTCCAGAACATTCGGTCTTCTCAGTGCTGGTTTCTGTCTGTCTTTATCTCACAAAAGGTTATACAGGTAATTATCGTCTGGCCTCGATTTAAAAAGGAACTTGTTTTTCATCCACTGGGAACTTATTTGATCTAGATTCCTGCAGTAAGACTACGCAGAATTTCTTATAATTTTCTTCTGAGATGTCAAGGATCATGCCTGTTCTCGTGGTACGTAGGTGGTACACATCTTGTCTCTTTGATGTTCCATGGTGACTTTTAAACGACTACATTTAAACACTGTAGTAATGGAATAATGGATGAAGTGTAATTGGATGTTCCTTGACAGATCATTATGAAAATAATACAGTTTTGGTGCTGATTTACATCAAGCCTGTGTATTTCTGTCCTGTATGTTGATCCCTGACCTCTGCCCCCAGATGGTCATCATCTCCTGAGCCCTGCAAGTGTCACTGCGATGGAGAAGCCCTCCGTTCAGACGCAGCCATCCACACTGCCCTTCTTCGACACCTCGCACGCCTTCAACCTGCTGCGGGGCATCCACGAGCTGCGTGCTGAGCGCAAGTTCTTCGATGTTACCCTGTGTGCTGAGGGCCGTGAGTTCCCCTGCCACCGCACGGTTCTGGCAGCAGCCAGCACCTACTTCCGCGCCATGTTTGCCGGCACGCTGCGCGAGAGCGCCATGGATCGCGTGGTGCTCCATGAGGTGTCTGGCGAGCTCCTGGGCCTACTGGTGGACTTCTGCTACACGGGCCGTGTGACGGTCACGCAGGACAACGTGGACCTGCTCCTCAAAGCTGCCGACCTCTTCCAGTTCCCCTCTGTCAAGGAAGCCTGTTGCGCCTTCCTGGAGCAGCGCCTGGATGTCTCCAACTGCCTGGAGATCCAGGACTTTGCGGAGGCCTATGCATGCCGGGACCTGGCAGCGAGCGCCCGTGGCTTTGTGCTGAGGAATATCGTGGAGCTGGCGAAGGGCAAGGACTTTGAGAAGCTGCCCTGGAAGCGGCTGTTGGAGTTCGTCTCAGACGACGGGCTGTGCGTTGACAAGGAGGAGACAGTCTACCAGCTTGCCGTGCGCTGGGTCAAAGCCGACCTTCAGAGGCGCCTCCACTACTGGCCTGAGCTCCTACAGCAGGTCCGGCTGCCCTTTGTGCGGCGCTTCTTCCTCCTGGCCCATGTTGAGAGCGACCCATTGGTTTACCTCTCGCCCCAGTGCCTGCGGCTGGTCAACGAGGCCCGCGCCCTCCAGTCCAGCGAGTACGACCGGCATGACCAGCTGTGCCACCGGATGCGGCCGCGGCCCTCCACCGGCCTGGCAGAGATCTTGGTGGTGGTCGGGGGCTGCGACCAGGACTGCGACGAGCTGGTCACGGTGGACTGCTACAACCCCCAGACAGGCCAGTGGCGCTACTTGGCCGAGTTCCCAGATCATCTTGGGGGTGGATACAGTATTGCTGCTCTCGGAAACGACATGTACGTCACAGGTAGGTGTACAGGGAAGGTAACGGCTTTGCACCACACTCATCCTCATAATTTAATGGCTCAAGGAACCTAAAACACGATAAAAGATCATTAACATTAATATATTGTGGCCGTCCTGAAGAATCAGTGTTTGTTCGATGCCTGTGTCTTTAAGGATCTCTCTGGGCTTGAACACCAGTGGTTGCGCAATGGAGCTTAAATATCAAATGTTGCTTGGGGGGAGGCAGGTGGGGGTTGTGCGGCATCAGGTTGAGATCTTGTTGTTTTCCTTGCTCTGCAATCCAAAAGCCTTGAGCCTCTCCAGGCCCACGTGTTACGAATGGCTGGGCGGTGAATGGGTATAAATAAGCTTAGCACAAGGCGGGGGGAAGAGAATCTGTGGGACACGGCGTCCTGCCAATGCTGCCATAGTCAGGGGCCTTGCTGTCCTTGGGCCGCTGCCTTCTCATGTGGCCCTTGTTGAGAGGGCAGCTCTGTCTTAGGGTGTACCACCTCTCATGTGCAGAGAGGCTGTAGCTTGGGTTGTGGGCTGCTTTAGAGGTTTCCCAGAGACATTTCAAGTTTGTCACATTCACAAACATAGCGTGTAGATGTGTGAAGAAAAATGGGGGCGATGTGTGGCTCAGCGGGTGTGGATCCTGTGCCTGTGATCGGACTGTCATCATTTTGAATTACATAGTGGGCAGCGTGATGTCACTGTTGGGCCCTTGAACAAGGCGCTTAACCGTCAGTTGCCCCAAGGACTGCCTGACCCCGCTTTTCTCAAAAATGTACATTGCTTTGGATAAAAGTGTCTGTTAAATAAGTAAAATGTAAAATGCTTTGAATGTCTTGATTTGGTATCAACCACCAGCGTGTTGTCAGTCTGCTATGACGGTTTTCTACGATGCTCGAAATTCAGGACATGGTTGTTTTGTCACAGGGGGGGCACTAAGGACAGGGTGGATGAATCTGGTCCTGTTACAAAAGCAAAAGCTGCTACTCCATCCCCAGCGAGGCTTTGTGGGGTGGGGATAACATTACCAACACCCATGCAACATAAAAATAGCACCTGTTCTCTGGTGGACCGAATCCAGATAGGGAACAGCCCATTGCTCAAGTGCCCTACTGGCCAAGGCCACAGGTTCTAACAGAGCTTATGCCTGTGAAAGGGCCTTTTTGTAACGGTACATGCCAGCATGGTGTACAGGAACCTTTTTTAGGCATTGTTTTTATCTGTCTTTTAAAACAGTAGGATGGGGCCCCATTGTGAATGTGTTCTTGGAAAATCAAAGGCACACTAGATGCTGCTTTACACTCATCTATTTATTCACAGTTGAGGGTTTGAATCCTGCTCATCCAACATGTGTGTATGGTTTGCATATTTGTTATGTGTTTGCATGGGTTTCTGGTTACCTTCTGCAGTCCAAAAGACTAGCTGTATGTAAGTTAGGTGAATTGGGGTCTAAATTGACCATAGTGGAAAATTCAGAGCTTTGATAGGTAAATTGATATTGTTTATAGCCGAAACAATATTCACTGTGTGATGGAGTCATTTTCATACATTTCAGGTTAGTTAATTTGAATGCAAACAATTTACCATTGGTTTTCTGGATGCCTCCACTTGGTAGGGGGCTCCGATGGATCTCGGCTCTATGACTGCGTGTGGCGCTACAACTCAAGCGTGAATGAGTGGACAGAGGTGTCGCCCATGCTGAAAGCACGGGAGTACCACAGCTCGTGCGTGCTCAGCGGCCAGCTGTACGTGGTGGCATCAGACAGCACGGAACGCTACGACCACTCCCTTGACTGCTGGGAGCCCCTGCCGTCGATGCTGCATGCTATGGACAACTGCTCCACCACCGCCTGCAGGGGGCGCCTGTATGCCATTGGCTCCCTGGCCGGAGAGGACACCATGGCCATCCAGAGCTATGACCCCAATGCCAACCGATGGGCCCTGGTGAACTGTGGCCAGCTGCCACCATGGTCCTTCGCTCCCAAGACGGTCACCCTCAACGGCCTCATCTACTTCATCAGGTAAGGATGGGTTCTCAGTGTCCGGAGTGAAGATGCCATTTTATGCGAGAATACTGAGACTAAGAGCGATCAGAAACATGAGCATGATATGTCTGAACCTCTCTCTCGCTTCTGACCCAGGGATGACTCTGCTGAGGTGGATGTCTACAGCCCATTGAAGAATGAGTGGGACAAGGTCAGCCCAATGACCCAGGTAAATACAACTCTGTCAGTTTGTTAACATGTATGTCTTTGAACTTCAGAATGTCAGAAACCTTAATGTCAAAGTGTGTTTCTCATTCATGGCGCCCTTCCTTGCTCCTGAAAGGTCCATGTAGGAGGCAGCGTTGCAGCGCTGGGCGGCCGTCTCTTTGTGTCTGGTGGGTACGACAATACCTACGAGCTGTCGGATGTGGTGGAGGCCTACGATCCAGCCACGTGCTCCTGGTCCCACGTGGGGCGCCTCCCCCAGCCCACCTTCTGGCACGGCAGCGTCAGCATCTTCCGCCAGTTCATGCCGCTGGTCCCCTGCGCCTTCGAGCCCATAGACGCTCCAGAGAACGCCATCCATATCCAACGGCACCACCGCCACGTGGACCTGCATGACCACCACGAACACAACCGAAATGTCCATCCAGCCCACTGAGTGTGGGCTGCCCTGTGGCGCTTATCCCCCACCCATCGCTATCCCCATCAGTCGTGTTTACTGTGATGACGTTAGATGGCGTGTTCTGCACTTTATGGCCTATCCGACGAAACTGGACACCACCTGGAACTGCAAATGGCTGACGTTCAGTGTCTGCTTCGGTGTCTTGGCTAAATTACCCTTGCTTCTGTGGAATTTGCAGCGAGGAACCCTCAATTCAGATATCAGCAGTCAGCAACCAAAAAAAAAAAAAAACGGAATGAGAAGCTGTAATGAAGGAAAAAAAAACAAATTTGCATTCGTACAATCGACCATGGATCTGGCTGTGCATGTGCTTAGCATTATCTTAAATCAGGGAGAAGATTCCTTATAAAAGGTAATTAAAATAGTTTTAGTACGGCTAACCTTTTTGAGGTTTGAACTACTTTTTTAGTAGTTATTTTTATAGCCATGTTGTGTATTTTCGAATAGCTCACTTAAACCTACACATTCCTAAAGTGAAAAGTGATTAATGCTTCCAGACTGAGGGAAATCGCTGTACCGAACTTTGTGGAGGGGGCACTGAGGCCTGTCCAGAGCGTTACCATTTCAGAGAAACCTTATACGGTCGGGGCTGTCGGGATCCAGTCACGAGGCATGCAGCCTGAAGGCTTCCGCTGTTTGTCAACAATCAGCAACATGGATCACATGCCAGAGGGGGCAGTGCTGGAGCAATTACATGCAAGGCTGAGATTGTGTCCCCACCCCAACCAAGGCACTGCCTGGGACTTGCGACACACAAGACGATTCCTCCCCCGCTCCTGGTATTCCAGTCCCATTTTAAAACCTGATGCAAATCTCCCAGGCTTGGCATGGCTACGGCCGCACTTTGGCCTGCATGCAGCTCCTGTTGTGTCCTCCTGAAGTATTCCTTATGGGCGTGGATGGCTTGTTATTTTTATAGTAAATTATAGTTATTTATGACTATTTATCGGTGTAGCATTCTGTGAGGGGGTGCGTAAAGAAAATCGATGTTGCGTTTGTACCTCTTCTCATTCTCACGTATCAGTAGAGCTGCTATTCTTCCAAATAAGAAGCAGTAGGTGTCACCGTTTACATAACTGGAAGTAACGATTTCGCTCCCTGTCATTTTTTTCAGTACAGTTATGTCATGCAGCAAAACTGGTGCATTGTACAGTTTACAAGAGCAGTTGAGCTGCATTTTGTGTGTTTTTTTTTCTTGCATTAGAGTTTTTTTTGGCTGCCTTGTTAATCAGCTGTGTTCTGGGTGTAAAAGTGATTGTGTTTACAATAGTGTCACTCAATAAAGATCCAGGCAGGCCTCCTGTCAAATCACCAACCTCCTGATGTACTCTGTGCTCTGTTTATAGACACTCTCACTGCACACTGTCCTTTATTATCACAACTGCCAGTATTATACATAAAAGGACCAAACGTGGCAACCAGTTATTTAAAAACGGCAACAAATTTTTTTTTCGTTTTTTCCCTTTTTTTTTTTTTGCAAAGTTCTGCCCCATGTGATGCCCCAGTGACACCAGCAGATGGTCCGTCCTCAGCCCTTATCTCCAGTCCCATCATCGGGTAGCTCCACCGCAGGATGGATGGGGTAGGTTCCGCCCACCAGCAGGGTCTGCTCCATGACGTCGGCCACGTTGAAAGACTCCCCTTCCTCCACGGGTCCCGTCCCCTGGCTGGCCACCACCTCCTCCACCACGATGGTGTCGGGCTGGATCATGACGCTGATGATGTCGCCCGTCGGCGGGCTGTCCCCGTCGGGCGGCAGCAAGGCCACGGTCGCCTTCTCGTCGTCCACCACAACGTTGCGCAGTCGCCTCTGCCGTGGGTTGTAGTTCTCCACGCGGTTGTGGATCTGGGAGTGCCGTCGCAGGTGGGCCTATATGGATAAGAGGAGGAGGCAGCTGTGGGTAAAGAAGACCCTTTGTTGCTGCATAGCCAGTAGGTGGCACCCTAACAAGCTTTCATACCTGTCTGGTGAACTTGTAGCCGCACTCCGTGCACTCAAACTTCCGCATGCCTTTGTGGCGTCGCACGTGGACCCGTAGCTGCTCGATGGCTTAGGAAAGATGCAAAGGCAGGAAGTTAGATCTGGGTTTGTCCAGGTTACCATCAGCCCTGATTAAAAATCGTCATCCTAGGGAAATACATAAATTGTTACCCCTCGATTGCAAGTCAGATGAATGAATAAAATAAAAATGCAGGCTTGAGTGCATCTGGATTTGCCACTATAAACAGCTTTTGATATTATCTATCCATCCATCCTAAAAAACAATTATGAACCTACCATTTAATTCATTACGAGTAAAAAAAAAAATGCTGAATTTGGACCACCAAAAAGAAATTAGATAAAACATCCTTTAGCAGAATTTCCAAGATTTCCAAATTTGATAGGCCTAATAAGCATAAATAATAGGAGTTCATTGTGGTGAAACACACACCGAACCGGCCGGGTGACTGGAGATGCCCCTTGGCGGAGTGGCGGCCTGCTCACCCTTGAAGGTCTTGGTGCAGATGTGACAGTAGTGCGGCCTGCCCTCCTGGTGCTTGCTCGCCACGTGACGGAGCAGCGGGCCCTTCTCCGTGAAGCGCTGCTCACAGAACTCACAGTGGAAGGGCCTCTCGCCCGTGTGGGTGCGGTGGTGCTTGTCCAGGCTGGCTGCAGGGGAAAGGACACACACACACACACACACACACACAAACACACACACACAAACACACAAACGCACATGATAAATCTAACCATGCAGGAGGGCGGCACACCTTTTTTAAAACCTGGGTGCAGGGACATGGGAGTATAGTATCCTGTTCCACACAGGCGTCTGTTTATACAGGGAACACTGTGAAGGTTCAGTCACATTTTGCACACATTCCACCTCAGGACTTTCCCTCCACCCCCTGAGAAAACATTCTAGGCAAACTAGACACTGATGATAAATATTTGTTTTTTTTTTTCTTTTTAAAGCCACAGATCACGACAGTGAGGCAGTAAGGTCGTGTCAGTGTAATATGTGCTGGGAGTAAGATTCCAAATAACCCAAAATTCATGTGCAGTTCATATTCTGACCATGGTGTGGCGCCAGTACAATTCCCTCAAATAACACACACACACACACAACACACAAGTAAACAGAACAGATGGCAGGTACGAGTCAAGATTTTTCCCCTAGTGCTGCTCAAGAACCCCCAAAAACCTTCAAAGTATTGGAGCGCTTTCAAAACATTGGCAGCGATGATGTGCAAAAACCAAATATTCGAGAGGGAGAGAGAATTTTTTTTTTTTTTTTTTTAAGTCAGCCAAAAATTTGCACAGGTACAGTCATGCAACACGTAACAATGTTTTGGTCAACGACCAATCCATAAAATTATGAAGCTGAAAAATTTCTATCACCTAGTGACGTTGTAGCCCAACACTTTACTCAAGTGTTTGTGGTAATGCTGGTGTAAACAAACCTAATGCTCTGCCAGTTGTATAAAAGTATAGCACATACAATTATGTACAGCACATAATACTTGGTTTATGCATTTACTTTACTCATTATTTTATAGTGTACTTTTTACTTTAAAATGTTAACTGTAGCCTTGGTGTATAGCAGGCTATACAATCTATGTATAAGTACCTTCCACAATGTTTACACAGTGACGAAATTGCTTAACAATGCATTTCTCCAGAATGTATCCCTGTTGTTAAGTGACACATGACTGCAGTCGATAGTCATAGCTCTAGTCCAGACAGTTGACTCTTGGCAAGAGAGTGAGATGCATGAGATGTAGTCACCCTGTGTACGGAATGTCTTCCCGCAGAGATGGCACTGGAAGGGCTTCTCCCCAGTGTGTGTCCGCAGATGCATGTTCAGGTTGGCCTTCTGGGTGAATGCGTGGTTGCAGAACTCGCACACGAATGGCCGCTCGTTCCTGCAGGGTGATAAAATGCATTGTGGCGCTGTATCTGTTCCCCAAGCCGCATCTCCGCTCCCAGGAACACTCTATGGGCTAGAGGAGCACCTCCCAGGAACACTCTATGGGCTAGTGGAGCACCTCCCAGGAACACTCTATGGGCTACAGGAGCACCTCCCAGGAACACTCTATGGGCAAGAGGAGCACCTCCCAGGAACACTCTATGGGCTAGAGGAGCACCTCCCAGGAACACTCTATGGGCTAGAGGAGCTCCTCCCCAGATCCCCTCCGGCCTGCCGCTCGCCCCGGACCTACCTGTGGATGGCCTTAATGTGCATCTGCAGACCGTTGCGGCTGGAGGCCCGGTGGCCGCACTCCTCGCACACGAACAGCTTCTCGCCCCGATGCTTGGAGGCCTCATGCAGACGCAGCTCCGTGCGCGACAGGAAGCACTTGGGGCACAGCGAGCACTGTGGGAATCAACCATTCAAAAGATTTACAAGTACATTGAAATACTTGCCTATGTACCTCCCTACAGACATTAACAATAACAATAAATCGCAAATATCAGAATATTGAGGACAAGTAATATATAATATGCATGCAGTATACAGTACATGAGCTGTCACGATTACTCGATTAAACTTGATTACATTTTCCTACTTGAATACTCAGCAATATGGCGGAAGGAAGACTGTGCAGAGCAGATATGAGTCCGAATAGAGCGACAACAGTGGGCAACTCTATATAAAAATAAACTGAATTTAAACTATTATAATTGTACAGGGTCACATAAGAGGAAATTACACAAACTCTATTACACAAACATTAGAATGAAAACTGCAGACAGCACTGCTCACCGCATGGGGTTTGGGGGCCCCATGGACTTTGATCAGGTGGATCTTCAGGTCTTTCTTCTGCATAAACTGCTCTGGGCATGATGAACACTGACAAAGGAATGGGCACACAAGCATCATCGGTGATGTTTCTGAAGCCAAATAATAATAAAAAAAAAGAGGTGTGCCTCGTAACATTTTTCTAGGGACAGGACCTCAAGCTAAACATCTGCCTGTTGGCACATGGAGATGGGGGTGGAGGTGTCCACAAGCGGCGCTCACCTTGTTGGGCATCTCTCCCGTGTGGGTGACCGTGTGAAGCCGTAACTCCAGGCGGCGCTGGAAGGTCATGGGGCACATGGAGCATGAGAACACCTGACATCATCAAAGAAGATGTGACGAAAAAAAAACACATAACAATCAGTAGGGGTGTATACAGGGGCGGGGTCACAGGGGTACTAGTCCCAGCTGAAAGCTGATTGGCTCCCAGAGTTCAAACCTCCCCTGTCACCAGTTCAAAGCATATCATTGGTTAGTGATAAGGTTCACTCCGCTGTAAGAATTATGGTGCCTTTAATGCCCCCCCCACCTTAAAAAATATCCTTGAATGCTCCTGACAATTGACAAGAAAACCAGCTACCTGGAAATTTAGGAATCGCTGAAACTTAGGAAGCCTTGCGACA